AATACTAAAATGTTCCAAGGGAGACTGAGGCAAGAGGATGGTGAGTCTGAGGGCAGTTGTAACTGCATAGTGAATTCTTTTCTCCAAATAGAAAAAGGGAGGTCTCTCCTCTAGCCCAGCAAGATGTCCAAAGGAAAAAGGGCCAAGGGGAAGAAGGTGGCCCCAGTCCCCGCCGTCGTGAAGAAACAGGAAGCCAAAAAGGTGGTCAATCCTTTGTTTGAGAAAAGGCCCAAGAACTTAGGCATTGGACAGGATCTCCAGCCCAAAAGAGATCTCACATGTTCCATCAAATGGCCCTGCTACGTTAGCCTGCAGTGGCAAAGCACTATCTTCTATAAGCAGCTCAAAGTATCTCCTGCCATTAACCAGTTCACCCAGGCCCTGGACCTGCAAACAGCTATCCAGCTGCTTAAGCTTGCCCACAAGTGCAAGCCAGAGGCAAAGCAGGAGAGAAAGCAGAGGCTACTGGCCTGTGCTGAGAAGAAAGCTGCTGGGAAAGGAGACATCCCAACTAAGAGACCACCCATCCTTCCAGCAGGGGTCAATATTGTCACCACCTTTGTGGAGAACAAGAAGGCTCAGCTGGTAGTGATTGCCCATGATGTAGACCCCATTGAGCTGATGGTTTTCCTACCTATCCTGTGTCGAAGATGTGGGTCCCCTACTGCATCATCAAGGGAAAGGCCAGGCTGGGGCGGCTGGTCCACAGGAAGACTTGCACCACTGTTGCCTTCACACAGGTTAACTCGGAAGACAAGGGTGCTCTGGCTAAGCTGGGGGAGGCTATAAGGACCAATTACAACGACAGATACGATGAGATCAGTGGCCACTGGGAAGGCAACATCCTGGGTCCTAATCTGTGCCTCGCATTGCCAAGCTGGAAAAGGCAAAGGCTAAAGAACTCGCCACTAAACTGGGTTAAATGTAGTATACTGCTAAGTTTTCTGTACATAAATATAACTACAAAAAAAAAAAAAAAAGGGAGAAAAGAATTCCAATATACTATGGATACATTAAACAACACGGAGTAATATTGAGTCTTAAAACATTAGGAAATTTTCATACATAATAGATGAAATCTGGGGGCATTATTTAATAAATTAGTAACAAAAGGACAAATATTATATGCTTCTGCTTATATAAAGCATGTGTAAGGTAAATTCATACAGGCAGAAAATAGAATAGAGATGACTGGATACTTGGGAGAAGAGAAAAATGGGGAGTTATTTTCTAATAAGAATTGACTTTGTCATGGTTTTCAAAATACGGAAATGGAAATGGTGATGGCAGTTTCATTACTCAGCTACCAGTTATTATAATGACATATCTGAGGTGATTAACCTATATAGTTATTTTGTTTCAGGTGGAAGAGGCTCCAGCCCAAGACTGGGTGAGCCCATTGTTTTGGACCTCTGATAGGCAAACTGAAGTAGCAAATCAAGCAGCTTGATTCATACAGGAAGAGGACTACCTGAGGTCCTGTTGACTCTGTAAGAGGCATGCCCTCCAATGATCTAAGGACTTACCAGGTCCCACACCCTAAGAGTCATAACACCTCCCAAAGCATCACTCTGGGACTCACGCCTTAAACACGCAAACTTCTGAAGGATAGACAGTATCCAACCTATAGTAGTTACACGGCATTGTTAATATATTTAGTGATGCTAGAGTGAACACTTAAAATGATTAGATGGTAAACTTTATGCTACACATACTTTACCACAAAGATTAAAAAAAAAGAAAAAGATGAGTTTGCACCAGAGTGATACAACCTGAGAAAGACTCATCCTAAATATCCTGGCTTTGGTGAGAATTTCAGAGGGAGGGGCAGAGTGTTGTTGTAATTATACAGCGTCTCATGTGCTGCAAGCTAGCCTTGAACTCACTGTGACAACAGCCCCTTGCACTCCTGATCTTCCTCTCTTCACTTCTTGAGTGCTAGAATTGCAGGTATGCCCAACCACTCCCAGCTTGATCCTGACTTTTAAGAGAAAGGAATCACACTCAAAAGAATCAGAACGATTTCTAGAAGCTGTAAAACAGCCAGAAGACAGATTCCTCCTAGAAATACAACCCCACTGACACCTTGATTTTAATCCATTGGGACAGTGGTTCTCAACCTTTCTAATGCTGTGACCCTTTAATACAGTTCCTCATATTGTGGTGACTTTCAACCATAAAGTTATTCCCTTTGCTACTTCATAACTGTAATTTTGCTACTGTTATGAATTTTAATATAAATATCTGACATGCGGGTATCTGAAATGCAACCCCTGCAAAAAGGCTGTTCAACCCAAAAAGGTCGCAACCCAGAGGTTGAGAACCACTTCATTGGGAACACTTCTTGGCCCTTTTGTAATTTTGATCTGCAGAGCAGTGAAATATTAAATGTAAGTTAACAAACATGTGTATTACCACACTAAAGACATTTTGCTTTGTTTTAAAATAGCTGACTTTCTGGGTATGGGTTACCTCACTCAGGATGATCTTTTCTAGTCCCATCCATTTGCCTGCAAATTGCATGATGTCATTGTTTTTAATAGCCAAGTAGTATTCCATTCTGTAAACGGAATACTACTTTTCTTTATCTATTTTCTTTATCTATTCTTCAGTTGAGGGACATCGAGGTTGTTTCCAGTTTCTGGCTATTACAAATAAAGCTGCTATGAACATAGTTGAGCAAGTGTCCTTGTGATATGGTGGAACATCTTTTGGGTATATGCCCAGGAGTGGTATCACTGGGTCTTGAGGTAGAGCTAATCCCAATTTCCTGAGAAACGTCCAGATTTATTTCCAAAGTAGCTGTACAAGTTTGTACTCCCACCATCAATGGAGAAGTGTTCCCCTTTCTCCACATCCTTGCCAGCATGTGTTGTCACTGGAGGTTTTGATCTTAGCCATTCTGACAGGTGTAAGATGGAATCTCAGTCATTTTGATTTGCATCTCCCTGATGAATAAGGATGTTGAACATTTCTTTAAGTGTTTCTCTGCCATTAGAGTTTCCTCTGTTGATAATTCTGTTTAGCTCTGTGCCCCATTTTTTTAATTGGGTTATTTGATTTGTTGGTGTTTAATTTCTTGAGTTCTTTACACATTTTGGATACTAGCCCTCTGTCAGATATAGGGTTGATGATCTTTTTCCCAGCCTGTAGGCTGCCATTTTGTCCAAAGAAGCCAAGGAGAGCCCAAGGGAGGATGCTTGAATCTCACTCAGAAGAGGAAATAAAATAGACCTGAAGTAAATGGAGTGAGGGAACTGGGTGGGAGAGGGGTGATGATCAGGTATGAGGAGAGGGGGAATGAAAATTGCTGGGCAGGATCTCTATGGCAGGGGAGGCTCTGGGAGTCTCTTAGGGTAACCCTAGCTGAAACTCCTAGCAGCAGGGGTAAAGGAACCTGAAGTCAACACCTCCTGTTGCCAGTTGAAACTTCCAGTGGAGGGAGGGGGAAAACAACCCACCCATAAAACCTTTGACCCAAAACTTGTCTTGCCTACAAGTGTAGCGACTAAGATGGAGCAGAGACTGAAGAAATGGCCCAATTTGAGACTCACCCCATATAAGATAGCCAACCCTGTCACTATTACTGATACTCTGCTATGCTTTCAGTCAGGAGCCTAGCATAACTGTCTTCTGAGAGTCTGGTGGAAACAGATGCAGAGACCCACAGGCAAGCAATAGGCAGAGCTCCAGGAGTTTTGTGGAAGAGTGGGAGGAAGGATAAAGGGAGCAAGAGTGGTCAAGAACACCACAAGAAGACCTACAGAGTAAATTAATGTGGGCCAATGGGGGCACAGAGACTGAACCACCAACCAAAGAGCATGCATGGGCTGGACCTAGAACCCTTACACATATGTAGCAGATGTGCAGCTTGGTCATCCTGTGGGTCCCCTAACAGTGGGAGTAGGGGCTGTCTCTGACTCTGTTGCCTGCCTTTGGATCCCTTTTTCCTAGCTGGACTGCCTTGTCTGGCCTCAGTGGGAGAAGATGTGGTTAGTTCTGCTGTGACTTGAGGTACCAGGGTGGGTTGGTACTCCCGGGACATCCTCTACTCCAAGAAGAAGAGGGAATGAGAAGAGGAACTATTGTCAAAGCTGTTGCCATTCAGACTAGATAGGAGGGGGACATGAGGGTGGAACTGGGAGGAAGGAGGAGGCTGGGATGGGGCTTTAACGTGATTAAATAAATTAATTAATTTTAAAAATAAAATAAAATACCTGACTTAATGCTGCTTCTTTATCCACAAAGTAAATGCCCTGTGACACTTTTCATGGAAAAGTTTTTCATCCCAGCAGCACCCTCAGCTGAGAACAAAATAAGTCTTTCCTTAGGATTAGGGGACCCTTTCCACTTCGAGGAAATCCCCCCCTGCCACCTACCCCGCCACAATATCAGGAGCTGGTTGCTCAGGTCCAGTTGCCAGCTGTAATAAATAACAACACAGAAAACCAAACTAAAACAGTGAGTTGCTTCTAAATGTGAATTGGTTATGTGGTATCTGGAACATATCATACTAAAAAAAATACAGGTTGTATGTCTGAATTTTGTATTTAACCAGGTTCCTCTGTTTTGTTCAGCATCCCTACACACATGAGATCACACAGAGGGCTTGGGTAAGTTTTGCAATTTAAAGATTTCATTTAAAGATTAAATGAAAGAGTTATCACCTTAAAAGATCCGATTTCCAAAGTCTCTTTTAGAAGGTGTCTTTGGGGGGATCCTGACAGACCATCCTTTCCCCTAGAGCACCCTCTGGCGCGGAAACTCGGTGGAGAGCGCCTGCTTGAGGTAGTCTAGAGAAGCTTGTGTTTTGGGCTCGGCGCGGGAAGACCCCGCGCAGGCGCAGAGCACTTGCTGGGTGAGGGATGCCTGTGGAGAGTGTGTGGACTCGGCGCGGGAGAAGCCCGCGCAGGCGCAGAGTGTGGCGCGTGGCTGGGCCGCTTCCCGCGCCGAGACCGAGCACCTGTCACCTCAGGGTGGCCGCCAGCGCCCTCCTTGTCCCCGCTGGCATGCTGTCTGACCCCCGCACCCGCCTCGCTCCGTCTATTTATAGCGCTCGCCGCGCCGGCCCTTTTCGGGTAGTGTGGCCAGTCAGGCCCGCCCGGCCGCGCCCTCGCGACCCCGAGGCGTGTCCAGGCAGGGCGCCATCGCGGCGGAGCGAGCGGGGCCGGGCAGCAGCAAGTAAGTAGGGGCCTAGAGAGGGGACGAACCCTCGGGCCCCAGGAGAGGGGTCGGCGGCCGCTGGGTCTCCCTGGGGCATAGTTCATTTGCGTGGTCTCCATGATCATGCCCTTCCCTAAAGGACCCGGCTGATTATTTTCCGTCGCTGCTAGACTATAAATGCCATCGAGGTAAGGGGCTCTCCTGCCTTCCTAGAGCCCATAATAATGCAGGGTTCGGTTCGTTTAAATTCAATCAGCGCTGAATGTATCCCTGGGCAACTCTCTTAACTTTAAAGCCAGGAATATAATTGCCTTGCATTTCCCCACATGATTCTTAGCAGGAACTAATGAGCTATAATGCATATTAAAGCACTCGGAAAAGTATAAAGAACTGTGCGAATGCAAAACACCATGAGCGCACCAAAGGAAAGAGAAGAGAAAGCTTATTTGTCTTTATCATCTCTGTGACTCATTATTACAGGCCTTGTGTATGTTTGAGGGTGAGTTATTAGGGTTAAATCAGGGAAACCACACCAGCAAGAAAGTTGAGTGTATGTATTGTGGTAGGCATGTTCAGAGCCATCTCCTACCACGATGGTAAAAGTAGGGCTGGGGAAAGCTGGCGATGGCACAGACAAATTCAGTAAGAGAGTGTTATGTTATAAACCAGGGGTCACAAATTTAGATAGCTGTTAAATAATCCACAAGGAGAGAGGTGAGAAAAGCAACATAAATAATGGTTGACACTGAGGTTTTAGTAAGGTAGGCAGATGTGCCCTCTGAGAAGCTGCAGCTGGCTTGTCAGGTCACATGGAAATGAAGGGCCCATTGTTGCCATATCTTTTTTTTTTTTTTTTTTTTTTTTCTATTGGTGTGGGGATGTTTGAAGTTTGTTTATTGAAGCAGATGCAAGTTTCTGCTGGCTGTTCCCCAAGAATAAGGCCTCTTTCTCAGAGAGTAAATAATGACCAGAAATTCATATTGAGGGCGGAGTTGAGAAGTAGATGTCATAATGCATAAAATTATAGGCAAGGGAATAGTCTTCTGGAAGAATTTTATAGGACAAGAGGATAATAATTTAAAATATTAAAGCATGGCTTAAACGAAATAAAATTCTCCAAAACTGACATGTACATGCAAAGACAAAGGGAGAAAGGCAGACACTTGACACATGCCTTTAATCCCAGCACACAGGAGACAGAGGCAGGCAAGGTCTCTGTGAATTAGAGGCCAACCAGGGCTACCTAGAAAAACCCTGTCTCAAAAATATTAAGACAAAGACTGGGGAGTGAAGTTACTAGGAATGATCTAGCACTAAACAAAGCATTAATTTGATCAGACAGCCACACCAAGCAACTGTTAGACGCCAGGTATACTCACAGTCATAAGAATAGAGAAGTGAATAAAACATAAAACCCTTCAAGAAAGTGAGACCTGAGCTGAATTTTGAAGAGCTGGACATGGGAATAGGAATATCCCTGACACAGAGAATTACATGTATGCATTAGAATTGTTAGCAGTTTGATACTACAAAAAAAAAAAAAACTATTAGGAAAGAAAGTCAGGAAATGAGACAGCAGTGGTGGGGGGAGCTAGATTAAAAGGAGCCCACAAAGCTTGAATGAGTAGTGGTGAGAATAAGCCCTTGATAATTTTTTTAATGTGAAGTAATAATTTTCTACCTGGTATCACTGACTTTTAAAAAGGCCTTCTTAATAAAGGATTTTTCTTTAAACATTGGAACTGAGGCATTATTTTCTTTTTTAAATACACAACATGTTAAATTTTTTTTATCTTATGTACATTGATGTTTTGCCTGCATGTATGTCTGTGAGGGCGCCAATCCCTGGAGCTGGAGTTACAAAGAGTTATGAGCTTCCATGCAGGTGCAGTAATTGAACCCGGGTCCTCTGGAAGACCAATCAGCACTCTTAATCTCTAAGCCATCTCTCTAGCCCCATGGGACATAATTTTCTGATGTTGTGATGGTGACATTTTTTTGTTTGTAAGCCAAAGTCTGTCGAAGGCAATTTTGGAAAAACTAGATTTTGGAGCCCTGTCCTAGTTACCTTTTTGCTTCTGAATTTCTTCTTTATAAATAAAAAAGCAAAGCTTTAATGTTGCTTATCTTTTTGCTGTTGTAACCTATTCACTGTACCAAACACTTTTATTACGGAAATAAACATATCACAATACTGAATCTAGTAACTTTTCCCATTATACAGGTCAATGCTGAAGAAATTAGCAAAGAAATGGGGATATACCCGTAAGATTTCAAGGCTTTGTCATTCAGACCAGATCGGAGGTTTTCATATTTTTCCAGTTACTCATAATTTGGGCTGCCTATACTTTGATATGTAAATTTACAATGTATGAAAATTCATAATGTATCTATTATTTCTCTGCATATGACATATCAGATAATGTACAGACATCATTTATAACACAGCTTAGATTTTCAGAAGCCATAAGTGATTAATATTAATATAGTTTTTTATTTTAAACACACTTTTCAAGATCAATGAAGTGTGGATTGAATCCTCACCATACAACTAGGGAAATTAAACATTTATACAGTTGAAACTCCTTGTCATTCTTCTCTGTCTCCCTTTCTTCCACATCTCATGAAGGCAACCACTCTCCTGAATCCATTGCTCTTGTAATTTCTCTTTAGTTTGTTAGGTTTCACTACAGTTGTATGGGTCTTTAAGAATACATAATTTTTTTAAACATTTTGGTTTTTTCCAAATTTACATAAAAATTTCAATAATATTAAAAAACTCCTGTAATGCCTATACTTACTCTATTAGAACAGCATAGTGTATTGTGTATTTTAAACACATTAATAGTATGTAGCATTATTCTAGTCTTTTTGTAACCATATTTTTTATAAATGTACATCATATTTATTCATTTTTTTGCTGTACAATAGTCTTTTGAGTGAATATATTATATTTTTCTATTAATGAATATTAAGTTGGTTTTGCTATTTCAAACAGTGCTGCTATGAATTTTAATTACTTTAATTTCTGCTAAATAAAGATGGAGAGTTTTCTTAGAAGGGAAAGCTTGGTCATTTATCAATCATTATTCAGAAAAAGTAGCAACTGTAAAGATAATGGAAAGATAATAAAATCAAACATTATGAAGGCAAACATTTGTGATTTAAAGAAATTGACATTTTTGCCCCACATTAAATTTATAGCAGTGTCCCTCTCTAAACTAAATATAATGGACTTGGGTGTAACTGCACTTTGGATTCACAGAGTAATTAGGCTTTATTCTTGTGATTTATATTTATCTTTGCTACTCATCTTTCTCCATTATTATGGATACTATTATTATGAATGCATCAGTTCAGTCTGCCATAAATTGGAGCAGAGAATAACTCCCCATTGATATCATTGAGAACACTTATACAATCTTGTTTTGCTGATGAAAGGAGAATGCACTCTCTGCCCTCATTATAAGAAAAAGTTGCTGTCAGCTCTCTCCATTTATGAGCTGTATCAGTATCCACAATTGATTTGTATAGTGCACCCAGATTATTTTCATTTGAAAAGTGTTTGTGCAGGTATGTTCTGCCTTTGATTTACCAGGTAGATCTTACAAAGCTAATTACATATTGTACATGCATAACCTTATTTAGTTCTTGCATCTGTTCTTACATAATTCTCAAAAGAATTATGAAGAAACTAGAACTTAAAGAGGCTATGAAACATGAAACATGTTCACATTACCAGATTACAATAGACTAGGAGCTGGACCAAGGCCTCAATAGCTGAAGCCCAAGTCCCTATCCTTAACTGTGGAGATGTGCTAAGTTTGCTGAGTCACTCACTGTAATGGTAAAATCTACCTATTTTCATTGGGGGCTAATGACTGAAATTACTACTTTATTTAATATTCTTTATCTCCATTGTTCAGATGAAAAAACCAAGGTTAAATCATTTTAAAATGACAGCAAGTACGCAGCTAGCTTAACCTCTGTCCACCACACCAATACCTTCTGTGCTCTTTAAATGTAAAGAAAGAATGCTGAGACTATTTTTGAAATGTGGTAGCTGATTTAACATCCAGGCATTTTTTTATGTTAATAGTAGTTTTAATTTATTGTTGATAGTTCTAACATTGATGCAATACATCTTGATAACATCTACTACCTGCACCTAAAATGCTTTAGCAAATCCATGGGCACTATTTCAGGACAAACTTTTTTTAAAAATTATTATATAATTCTTGAACACTTTGGGTACGTTTTGTTGTTGTTGTTATTCTTTTTTTCTGTTCAGGAGCTGTTTATTCCGCCATCCCAGTGAACTTATATTTCAAATTTGAAAGTATGACTCATTCCCAAGTACAGTTTTTCTTTGTGATAACACACTTGTTCCTAGAAATAAAGCGATCACATTCCAATCAGTCATATTTTTCAGAGACTCACATTTCTTCTTTTCATTGTGCTGAATAAGCTCTTTTTTTAAATTTTTTATTAATTACACTTTATTCATTTTGTAGCCCCCCATAAGCCCCTCCCTCCTCCCCTCCCAATCCCACCCTCCCTCCCCTTTCTGCATGCATGCCACTTCCCAAGTCCACTGATAGGGGAGGTTCTCCTCTCCTTTCTGATCTTAGTCTATCAGTTCTCATCAAAAGTGGCTGCATTGTCCTCTACTGTGGCCTGGTAAGGCTGCTCCCCCCTCAGGGGGAGGTGATCAATGAGCAGGCCAATCAGATTATGTCAGAGGCAGTCCCTCTTCCCATTACTATGTAACCCACTTGGATACTGAACTGCCATGGGCTACATCTGTGCAGGGGTTCTAGATTATCTCCACGAATAGTCCTTGGTTGGAGTATGAGTCTTTGGGAAGTTCCCTGTGTTCAAATTATCTTGTTCTGTTGCTCTCCTTGTGGAGTTCCCGTCCCCTCCAGCTCTTACTATTTCCCACTTCTTACATAAAATTCCATTCATTCTGCCCATCAGTTGTCCATCAGGCTCAGCATTTGCTTTTACAGTCTATACTGCAGAGGCTTTCAGAGGCCCTCTGTGGCAGGTTCCAAGGTTGTTTCCTCTTTTCTTCTGGCTTTCAGAGGTCCTCTGTAGCAGGTTCCGAGGTTGTTTCCTATTTTCTTTTTCTTCTGATGTCCATCCTCTTTGCCAGGCATTTTTTTTTTTTATAATTTCAGAAAATTAATTTGATCTGTAAAGTCAAAACAATTAGAATACCTTTCAGGGGTCTATAAACAACAATTAGAAGGAATAGATACTTAGCAAATGTGTATGTCCATTTAAAATATTCATAGTAAATGATTCTGCAAAGTGTTTGAAACTATTGTTTCTGTTTTAAAGTAAATTGGGTTTTGTTGCTGTTATTATTTGTATAAACCAATGTTTGAAAAAGAGGAACCACACCCAAATATGCCATTTGTTCAAGAGATTGAATATAGATGCAGATTAGAGAGATAGATATATAGATATAAACAAACAGTTCATCTTTTCAAAGCAAAGCCAACCCCCTTTCTCAAAATTCTTCAGCTGAATTGAAGAAAAGAAATGGAGATTAGACACCCAGACAGGGTAGTGTCCTATTCACAGTCTTAAGAGTGGATTTATTTATAGCTTTGGAGCAGTCGGCAACCTGCCACTTGTTTTTCCAAAGTCTATGAGCTAAGAACAGGTTTCGTAATTTTAAATAGCTTTTAAAAGTCAAAAGAAGAATATTTCATGACACATGAAAATAGGACATGTTAAATTTGTGAAATTCAAATTTCAGCATCCAAAATTGATTTTTCTGGAATACTGTCATGCTCACTTGTTTATGTTTTCCCCCCTATGGCTGCTTTTGTGCCATAAGAGCAAAGTTGAGTGGTTGTGACACAGCCCAGATGGCCTGCCTGGCATATTTACCATCAAGCCCCAGCTTTCCAGCCTTTGCACTAAAAGGAATAAGGATGCAGACTTTGGGGTTTAGATGGAATTGAGTTCACAGTTCAGTCTGTTCCCAAGATTAATGCCTTGGCTGTTTCATGGGAAGCCAGTAGAAAAGAGTAATTCACATGATTGGTGCTTTTTTTCTTTTTTTCCTCTTGAGACAAGATCTGACAGTGTAGTCCTGGCTGTCCTGAAACTCACAATGTAGATCAGGTTGGCCTTGAACTCATAGAAATCCTCCTGCTTCTGTTCTAAAGTACTTGGATTAAAGGTGTGTGCTACCATGCCCAACCTGTAATTGGTGCTTTTTCTGCAGGAGGAGAATAAGGATACAAGATCCTTTGGTATCTGAAAATATAAGATTTCAACCCAGTAGTGTACATAATTACAGCTATCTTGAGCCACTTTTCTCAACATTTCTTCAAATGCCATTTGTACAAGTAAGGAGTCTAGATTGCAAATAATAACATTCCCAATTCAACTTAAATTGTCTCAAAACTGTGAACTGTTGATATAAAACCCACCTTCAAACCCATTGCTCTGGACATTTTGCCTCCTTCCCTGAGTTTGCTTTGTCCTGATGCTGGCTCACAGAGTCATGGCTGCATCAGTGTTTCACATATGGACATCCCAGCCATGGAGTCACGACCTGAATTTCACTGCTATAGGCACCCTTGGGTGTTGTGCCTGTCCTTAACAGTAGAAGGGATGTAGGGGCTGTCCTTCCCAGGGCACACCTAGGGAAGGTGGGTTGGATGCTAAAGAAAGCTCAGTATCACCTACCATAAAATCTATAAGCTATCACCTAGAGAGATGGCTCAGGAGCTAAGAGGACTGGCTGCTCTTCCAGAGGACCCAGGTTTGATTCCCAGTATCTATACTGGCCTCTGTAGATACCACACACACACACACACACACACACACACACACACACATACACACACACACACGACGAACAATTATACATGCAGACAAAATACCTATACACATAAAATAAAAGTAATACAAATTTTTAAATACCACTTTTATAACATGTTCGTGAACAAACATAGATTCATTAGTCATTTAACTTGAATTTCTTGAAAGTACTGATGTCTGTTTTTGGTTTTGGTTTTGGTTTTTATCACAACAGCCAAAAAGTTGCAGCAAAAAGTTCATCAGGTAGAATTTGGCTCCTGTCTTACATATGTGAAGTCCTAGGATTATAATCATAAACTTTGGGTCTTAAGCATCTGAATTCTAAACATTATCAAGACCAGTAGTCTAGGAACTGGCCAAACTACCTGTGGTGTGTTAGATAAAAGGCATCCAATTTGAAAAGTGCACTTTCTGACATCACCAACACTGGTATCCTTCAAGAGATTCTTATACATGAATATAAATAAAATACTAGACTGTAAAAAAAATTACTTCCTTAAAAGAAGGCTATGTTCTAGGCGAAGGGTGTCACTGACCACATGGTATATAGAGCTTGCCTGGGCTCGATTCTCAGATCTGAATGAAAACAATAAACCTTAGGTTCTTTTTAGCCCCAAGTAATAGCTATTGTCCTATATAATGTGATTTGAGCTAGTCATAGTAGGCATAAGAGAAGTCAGACATATAACAACCTCTTAATTGCCCATAATTGGATACTCTTATAGATATAAATAAACAAACAAACCAGAGGTTTGCTTTTTACCAGAAAGCCATCTCCAAAAAAGCAATGTAAAGTAAAGCAAAGCAAAACTTAAAAAAGCAATGCCAGAAGGTCCAGCTGGTAGACTCTTAATGACCATTTCAGTTCTTAGCTTGATGGCTGTTACCTCATGGGCTCTCGTAGTGCTTTTGGGGTCTTTGTCACTCTACAATTAAACATCCTTGCCATGTGTATATCACTTGTTTCTTAAGGTGAAATTTAATTCAACCATCAAAAAGAAAAAAAAAAAAGATGGTCTCTGATGAACTAATCCTTTACTGGGCTCTAGAAAACTGGGGACTTTTTACCCTTCCTAGCTGAAAAAAAAAAAGTATTCCTGGTCTTATAACTGCCACCTTGCTTCCTAAGAAAGAAAGCTTTGCCACCATCACCATTTGTTCTCACTGCCTGTAGCTTTGCAGCCAAGATAGAACTAGAAAAGGATAGAGAGACTAGGACCCTCTCCTCACAAGAGCTCCTGGCTCTGGGAATGCCTTTCTTTAAATCAAAGCAGCTAATTAACTTCCTTGAAACCTCATGTTTGCATCGCCTGGGGAAGGTGAAGGTGACACTACCAGCTTGGAGACTTTTAATTAGACTAGGGCTTTTAAAGGCAAGAAGCAATTCAGTCTGTACCACTGTGTAATAGGAAACAAAGAAAAGCTGGGCAGAGAAGGAGGACACATTTAGGTTTAAGTTTTAAATATCATGAATTCTCAGATCAGCAGTCATTAGCTTGTGCTTTAAAGCTCAGTAGAAATAAAATTTTCATTACCTACCAGTCTAACTAATTTTTCCCATGCCAAAGTTTAATCAGGTTGTGGACTGTGTTTTAGTCATCCCTGGTCCAGGGTCTGTGTAGCCCTAATCGTGGTCCTATGGAAGTCATTACACACATGGTTGTGTGTTGGGCGGGGTTGGGGGGAGTGAGCTTAACCTGCATGTAACACTGCATCTCTTTAGAAATGATATTAACTGATACCTCTGTGCCCTCAGTCTGCACAGTGGCCCTTTTGATAACTGGAAATAGAACTGCAAAATGTGCTTATCATTTTACTTCTTTCTTCCTTCACTCTGAGACTCTCCAGTCTTTGCGGGAGGTGGGAGGAGAAACCATGATGATTAGAAACTATTGCGGTAGCAGTTAATAATTGATGATTTACATATCAAAGTCTTTTTTAGATACAAAGTAGTTGTCTTAAATTGCTCTGTTCTGAATGTATAATATTTTTTTGTAAATACTTCTCAGCACTAATGCTATATGTTAAATATAGAATTTTTTTTCTTAGACAAAACTTGCTTCTTTTCTTACCCTCAGGAATATTTCATGGGATCTCTGTTGATTTGTGAGGAATCAGAAATGCAAATTGCCCCTCAGGAATCAAGCTAAACTCAGAGAAACCTTACTCAGAAATTTCAAGGAGTGCATCATGGAGTGCAAGACTGAGGGAAAAGGGAAATACCAGCATAGTTTGAATTTACTAGATAAAATTAAGAATATGAAAGAATTAGAAGAAATGATTGATGTAGTGCTCATAGCAGAAGAGGAGAAGTTTCCTTGCCACAGACTGGTCCTTGCTGCATTTAGTCCTTATTTCAAGGCTATGTTCACCTGCGGACTACTCGAGTGCACTCAGAGGGAGGTCGTGCTCTATGACATCACAGCAGAAAGTGTATCAGTGATACTAAACTACATGTACAATGCAGTTCTGGAGATCAATAATGCCAACGTACAGACTGTAGCAATGGCCGCCTATTTTATGCAGATGGAAGAAGTCTTTGGTGTGTGCCAGAAATATATGATGGACCACATGGATGCCTCCAACTGCATAGGAATCTATTATTTTGCAAAACAAATTGGAGCAGAAGATTTATCTGATCAGTCGAAGAAGTATTTATATCAGCACTTTGCTGAGGTAAGCCTACATGGAGAAATACTAGACATCGAAGCTCACCAGCTTCTGGCACTTATTAAGTCTGATGATCTGAATATTTCCAGAGAAGAGAGCATTCTGGACTTGGTTCTCAGATGGGTAAATCATAATCAAGCACTGCGCACAGGGCATCTCGTTGAGCTTTTGAAGCAAGTCAGACTGGAACTTATAAATGCTTCCTTTCTAAGGCAGGCTCTGAGAAGGAACACGATGCTCCTTTGTGATGGCAGTTGCATTGACATAATCCAGAATGCATTCAAAGCCATCAAGACGCCCCAGCAGCACTCCTCTAATCTTCGCTATGGCATGGAGACCACCAGCCTTCTGCTTTGCATTGGGAACAATTCTTCTGGAATCAGATCACGGCATAGGAGCTATGGGGATGCCAGTTTTTGTTATGACCCTGTGTCACGGAAGACCTATTTTATCTCATCACCCAAGTATGGAGAGGGTTTGGGAACAGTATGCACTGGGGTAGTTATGGAGAACAATACTATAATTGTGGCTGGAGAAGCAACTGCCACTAGGCTTTCAAGACAAAAGAGCAAGAATATTGAAATCTATAGGTTTGTATCTCACAGCAGGTGTTATACTTTTTGTTTTGTTTTGTTGAGATAGGGTCTTATTATGTTGCATGGCTGGCCTGGAAATCTCTGTGTATACTGGATTGACCTTCAACTCACAGAAATCCACCTGCCTCTGTCTCTGTTCAAGGAGCATCCTTCCTCAGTTACCAGTAGATTGCAAAGTGGGTATGAAGGCTTACAGGAGCAGCAGGCTTTGACTTTCCTGACAGGATTCTTGCAGTTCTATTTCCTGGTATGGCACATGCCTTGTGCTTGTGCCGTTTCTATCTTGAGACCTTAATTAAAGAGCCTTAGGCGCTTCAGATATCACTTTTCTTCCTTATCAAGACAGTCTACTCATCTCTTGATGAGTAGAAAAAACCAGAAATTTTTGTTAATAAGCATCGACCCTGTTATGTGTTTTATTCTGTTCTGAGCCTTAAACATGTTTCATCTTCATTCTAAAAGCCCTCTTTCCCTTTCTTAAAGCAATGTCTAACTGCATACTCACTCCATTGTTTTCTTAACAGTTCCTCCACATTGGTCAGAATTAAGGCAAAAATTACTAATTTCTTCTACCTTTACCTTTGATGTGAAATTGTAAGGAAGGCAACTAGACAGGTTATCAGAAGCATTGCTTTGGGCTCAAATGAGGCATACTTCTTCATAACTGGCCACCACACTGGACTTTAGAAAGCACTGAGAGAGGCCTGTCTCCCTAAGATCCTCGTCTCACAAGACCCTTAATCTCCCAGCATCACTACAGGTCACTTTCATGCCACTTTTTTGATAAATCAGGGAAATCGATTGTCCTATGATATATCTCTGCAATATTATTTTATAATAATTTTATTCTTTTAACATTATTGCTTCTTTGTTTTATTCTTCAGATTGCCTGTGTTGTACACTTTGTAGATGTCCATGCAGGTGTAGTTCTTCTTGACTTGAGGTAGGAAATAGACAAACAGCCTCATAGGCTGTTTCTTTCTATCTTCTGTATCTTCTCACTTTGGCATATGAAATAAGTGAGCATGTAAGTGCCTTCTTTAAATTATGACACTGAATGCTCTTGTCCCTGTTATTTTCCTTTTTATGTCATATTCACTTCCCAGTAATGAGTTTTATAGTTTTTTTTCTAAGCATTTTACCTCTCCATTTTAGGTTCTAAATGTTAAAACAAAATCAGACTGTCAAGTTATTTAGAAAACCATCCTCAACCTTCATGGTGCCGATTTTATCCTATTATGTTTTCGTAAACTGCATCGGAAAACCCAAACCCATTTTGTTTTTTTGTTTTTGTTTTTTTTTTTTTTTTTTTTTGCATATTCACTCAGTCAGGTTTTCTTAAGTGACACCAGCATATGATCTTCCTTATCTTTGAAAATTCATACAATTAAAAATTAATAAAAACATTCCTTGTGATCCCAGGAACTCTGGCTTCCTTTCTAGAATTGCATAGAAGACAGACACTGGAAGGTTTGATAGCTCTGTGCCTTCAGCTGTGACAAGCCACACATACCTCTATGAAAGGAACATGCCTTTCAACTACCCTGTCAAGCCTGAAGCAGAATGTTCTCTAGGGAATGTGAGAGTTGGCCCAGAACAAGTGGGAGAAACTGATTAGATGAGTAACTGTAGAATGTTCCTTAAGAATTGTACTTTCTACAAAGCGTACAGAAGTGTTACACCCGTTTTCTTATTTTTCCTGTTCCTGGGGTTTTGTGGTTTTGTTCCACGTGCACTCTTCTACATTCTTCTGAGACATTCAATTTCAGATATTTTATCCCACTATCCCTGTAAGTAGTTTTGTCTTTCTCATACCAAATGTTTCCAATTACAATTGGAAAAAAAATACACTTACAAGCCAACTATGATGGTGCATGTCTGTAACCAACCATCTGAGAGGTTGAGGCAGGAGGATGGCGAGTCCTAGGCCAGCCTGGGCTACATACTGAGACTTTATCTTTTTTTTTTTTTTTAAGATTTGTTTATTTATTTATATATTATGTATACAATGTTCTGTCTGCATGTATACCTGCATGCCACAAGAGGGCACCAGATCTCATTGTAGATGGTTGTGAGCCACCATGTGGTTGTTGGGAATTGAACTCAGGACCTCTGGGAGAGCAGTCAGTGCTCTTAACCTCTCAACTATCTCTCCAGCCCCAAGACTTTATCTTAAAAAACAAAAACAAGTATCATGAGGCAAGACAAAAGTCAGCCTTAAATAGTACACTCAGGGGCTTCACAATGTACCTAATAATCAGTGACTATGTTGGGTCCCAGAAGGCACTGACAATACTTCTATCTGAGGGCCCACATCTCTCAAGACTCTTCCTAAACTTATATAACTATTAGTGAAGGAAATTACCCAAATAGCCATATCTAGTAGATGAAAATAGACGTTAGATGCTCAGTAGACATCTGCAGATGGGTTTTTTAACAATGCCCTTGATCCAGTTTTAAACCAAAGCTACAACTTTAATAGTGGCCAGGCAAGGTGATACGCACTTTTAATCCCAACATTTGAGACCAAGGCCAGCCTGGTCAAAAGCCAGGGCTACACAGAGAGGCCCTTGGTTTTGTTTTTTGTTTTTTTGTTTTTGTTTTGTTTTTAAATTCGACCTATGTAGAATTTATAGTTAGAAATTCTAACTTGAGACACTTAGATTCTCTGCTTTAAAACCATGATTCCTTCAATGTTGCACTAAAATGCTTTTTCTTATCTAAATATTTGGGATATTTTGTATTTTTGTCTCTTTATCCATTTATGTTAAAGTTAAAAACTGATTTTCTACTTGGAAAGGGGCAGGGAGGAAACCAGGGAGGGAGTGTGGGATTGGGGAGGGAATGAGGGAGCAGGATACAGCTGGGACACAGAGTTAACAAAATGTAACTAATAAGAAAAATAAAATTAAAAAATAAAAACAAAAAAACCCCCTGATTTTCTGAAAAAAATTCTATTGCTGATTTTCTTTAGAGAATAGTCTGAGGTAAGGTATACTTTTTCTACGTCTCTATTTTTCCTAAAAATTTTTAGGGAGGTGAATATGTTTCAGCATATTAGGTTTTGCTCATTGATCCTTGGGGAGGGGGGGTGGAGAAAACAGATATATATTACTATCTTGTGCTAATGATCTATTTCTCGTCCAATTAGAAGAGCCAGTTCACATTGTTTTGTGTTGAAAAGAAGAGTTAAATGTGCTTCTTGGGTGAGTTGTTGCCATGGTAACTCTAATCCTGGTTCTCTCTCTCTCTCTTTTTTTTTCTCTCTCTCTTTCTCTCCCTCTTAACTTGTAGGTATCATGATAGAGGAAACCAGTTTTGGGAAAAGTTATGCACAGCTGAATTTCGAGAGCTCTATGCTCTGGGCAGCATCCATAATGACCTCTATGTCATAGGAGGACAGATGAAAATTAAAAACCAGTACCTCATTACAAACTGTGTTGATAAGTACTCCATAGATCAAGACAACTGGAAACGAGTGTCTCCCCTCCCACTGCAGCTGGCTTGTCATGCTGTGGTAACAGTGAACAATAAACTGTATGTCATCGGCGGCTGGACCCCTCAGGTTAAGAAATTCCTTGCCTATCTACCCGGTGTGGCTGGCTTTGCTAAGAAAAATGTAGCAGTTGTTGAGTATTAAAAGATTATGGCCTACATTTTGGCAAAATGCTTTTTATACCAAACAATATAAACTTAAGTCTTGAAAGTGTCAAAGCAGTTTTAGAAAATTGATTTTTTAATGTGTTATTTATAGACATGGGTTCATTTAGTATTCGTGCTATCCTATGGACTTCATAATTCTTCTCCTACTGACTGATTAGGAAAGGTCCCTATGCCGAGGGGTAGCTGTAGGGAGCATCTAAGTAAATGGAACAGCTGGATCCTCATTCTAGTCCTTTTGTCTGACCGCTGTGTGACCAGTGGCCAGTCTGGGCCCTTTCTACATTTAGGATTCTTGCTACAGGGGCTGGGGAAATGTTTCAGTCAGGAAAATGCTTCCTAATACCCATGTAAAAGCCTGTAATCCCAGCCCTGAAGAGCCAGAGACAGGAAGATCCCTGGGGCATTGAGAACTACCTGGGCTTAATGTCTGACTTGCATATGCACATACACATGAACATGCACATTCACCATGAGTAAGTGCACACACATGCACACACACATTCACACACACACACACACATACACACACACACATAAACACACACACACACAGGTTCTTGCCATTAATGGAAAACCAGAATATTGAATCCCGTGGATGTGATGGCAAGCTGAAACAGAGGTCAGCAGTGTGACCACAGCGGCCCTGTGTCCTTTTGAAGGTCCTCCTGGACCTTTGGCATTTATGGTAGTGTCATCTCATCTGTCCGATGTTCTTCCTGTTTTTCCAGTACAGATTATTTTCACTCCTTGGTTGTCCCTGTGACATAAATTTTTTTTTGCTTGCATTTTCTCTTATTTTATCAGATTTGCCTCATGATAAAATTTATGCTTTTGTATTTCCTTCATAAGCTTGTATAACTTTATACCTATTTATGCTTTATATGTTTCTATTGATGCTGTAGGTCAAACATAGCAAGTAGCTAACCCTGACATTATATGTAGGTAGTTACATTTTTCAAAACTATCCACCTTCACACTGAATTTGCATGAACTTCGAAGCTTTACTTTACTAAAGTGGAGATTAAATATCTAAACCAGAGGAAAGTTAAAGCAGTAAAGGAAAGATTTGTTGTTTCTGAATGAGTGTTGTTTAACAAGGCAGTCTCACTGAGCTTCGGACACAGCTCAAGAAATTGGGCTCTGAGTGCCCACAGCGTCATCGCTCCTGTCATTTTTAAAGGTCTTGACTAAAGTGAGGTGCATGCAACTTTCCTAAGCATGGCAAATATTTCTTTGTTGTAAACTTGGACCCAAAAAAGAGACAGGTAAATTCTAAGCTCAAAGTTTTTATAAAGTTCCAGAAATCACATGTAAAAATAACATTATTTTACCTAAACTTTATGGGTAGAAGCCACTTGTATCTGTGTAAAAATAAAATTATTCAATTTTAACTATCTAATCATTAAATAAATATACAAATATATAAGTGACTATGTAAATATAACCTCAAGTAATTTATGCTAATCCTATTATCTTGAAAATTGAAATCAGTTTATTTACATATAGCTCATAATTATGGTCTAAAATCCTCTAATTACTAAAACAAAAGTGTTTTGAAATTTTTATAGGTTAGAAAAATATGAAGATATCTTATGAATTATTAAAACTAATTCTTCATGAATATTGTAAAAATTCACAACTATGAAGTTTGGTAAGGTTAGGGTTTTACTTTACACACTGTTCAACAGAGCATGCTTTGCTTTTTTTTTTAAAGATTTTTAATTGACTTCATTTTGGGTGTCTAAATGTGAAACTCACCAGTTGCTGTAAGCCAACACTTTAACCCCATTGCACATATAAATCCCTCTGATGTTGACAGAGTACTTACAAACCCCAAGTCTCAGGACCTGGCAAGTCTGTGAGTCTGGGCGAGGCGCTTAACCTCCATTCATCTCCTCTGCTGTCTGCTTTGATTAATTGTGTCCGCACGCTCGCAGAGGCCTCTAAGTGGTCTGTTGTTACATTCGCTGTCATATTTCGTGCAGATGGATCTTCCTGATGAAGAGCCTGATCGATTAAGCAACAAACTATTGCAGTATGACCCCAGCCAAGATCAATGGCGAGAGCGGGCACCCATGCAGTACTCTAAGTACCGATTCAGTGCAGCCGTCGTCAACAGTGAGATCTATGTTCTGGGTAAGAAGTAGCAGACTGCTCAGAGCATAGCCGCTTTCCTCACTTCAACAGTTAGTGCCTGCAGAAAGAAAAGCTTCCCTTCCTCTTGAATCTCAGTTCAAATATATGTGCATAACTGGCCAAAAGCTTGTTTTCTGGAGCAAAAGTCAAATAAGAATAAGTCAGAGTGCATTGGCTTTGAGGGCAAAACCCTTTTAATGGCACCTTCAAAGGCTTTGGAATGCAAAAGCTGCAGTGATCTGTCCTATGGGACACAAGCTGATGAAGTAGAAGAAGCTTTTGTTCACTTGTAGTCAGTAAAATGTGGGGTGTTGCAGCCAACTGTGGTTGTGTTGTTAAAGAGAAAACCACAACAGGGCAGGCTCTGCCTCAGGGCAGATTTTGCAATTTTCTTCATTTTGCCCCACCTTCCACATTTCACTATTGAGTAATTTTTCCATGAATGTTTTTCCCCTTCTCTCTTGACTATGTGTAGTCTGTACTAACTAGCAGGGGCCAGTGAAAGACTTGAGTTCACTAGAAAGCCTAGTGGTTAGTAAGAATTCCAGACATCTCCCATGAGTTCCTCTCCTTCACTCCCTCCCTGCATCTTTCTTCATCATGTCTTAGTCTTCAGAGTATGTTCTTTCCTTCTGACATCACCCTCTATCACCCCCACCTCCCCAGAATATGGGAGGGCTGGGGCCTGAGGCTAACTAGATGACTACCGAGTCTCTGTCTTCCCATCTGCATGGGTGGCAGATTGGAAAAACTGGAGGTGATAAGAGGCAAAGTACTGACAAAGAAAGGGTGAAAGTAAACTAGGCCTCTAATGGAGACAATTAAACACACACACACACACACACACACACACACACACACACACACATAAACACATACAATGAAGGCTGTGGGCTGTTATTTTGGGCTGTTTTCACAGCATGAAGCAAAGCAATTCATATACTCAGATATTAAAGTTGTTTTATTTAAGAACAGTTGTGCAACATAATTTATGATTGGCTCAGTCAAGAGACTCACAATTATAATTAAGTTTTTCCTCTAGGTAAATATCCCTTTCTTTGTTACAATCGGAATTAGAGCTCTCACTAACAAGGAAGTTCACCTGAGCTAGATGTGTAATAAAAATGATGGTGTATTTTGGATAACTGTGGAAAGAGCACCTTAGAGGCAATCATGAAGCCCGCTCTTCATAGCATGGACAAATGTCCACTGGGTGAACAAAAGGTAAATTTAAAGGGACCTACAGCATTTATGTCAGTGAAAGAAGAGTATATGTTATGCTTCAGGAAAGGGAATGGGGTCAGGGAATGGGAAAGAGCAGGTAGGCCCAGGGGTGGCAGCAGCTATCTGGGGTGAGATGAGTGTGATGGGAGTAGAAGGAGCTGAGACAGTGGTGCAGGTGCACTGCTCCCTTGCTTTTCTCATCACAGTGACAAAATACCTGACAAAAAGCAACTGGAAGGGGGAGAGGTTTTCTATGACCAGTGGTTTCAGAGGGATTTCAGTCCACTATAGAAGGTACATCAGAGTTGTCTGTGGCAGTGGGAGTTGGGGGCTGTGGGTAGTTCACATGACATGAACCAGGAAGCAAAAATGTGGCAGGAACCAGAGGTGGGTATGACCTTCCAATTCCCACTCTAAGTAACCTCCTTTAGCCTGACAACCCTGACTCCTAAAGGCTTCACCACCTTCAAAGTAGTACCACAAGCTGGGGCCAAGCATTCAAACTTCGAGCCTCTAGAGGACATTTCAAGCCATATCAACTAGGAACCACATTATGAAGGCCATGTATGAAGACTTAAGAAAACTGAATGGGCAGGAAAAAAAAACACACAGAGAAGCAAGTTCATTAAAGAATGATTGGGAAGATTGGTACAATGAGAACAAATCAAAGGCTGAGAGAAGCCAGAAGTGGGGAGACCAACTAGTAGCTTAGAATCTCAACTCTAGATACCCAGAACTAGGAATGGAATTCATGACCATCCCAATAAGCCTTGTCACCTGTAAAGTTCACTCCAGAGAGTCACTTTGCCCAACATTTGTGCTTAATTCTAGGCTTATGTATAAGTTTTGAAGTGATGTGAAACCCAGTTGTTTCATTTCTGTGGTCTGTGTTCAGAGTTAGTTGTTCACTGTGTATGTAATTGGAATTGAGGCAAATATTATACACAATCCTAAAATTGTTGGTTTGAATAACTCACAGACACCTTGCAATTGATTTTTGACTGTCTGCTTTTGGGTAGCTACATATACCCCACTGTGCTTGGAGAGCCCTGCCAATTACTATAAAAGTAAGGCCTCCCACTGCTCTATGGTGTATTTAATACACAATGCCTCCTGTGTAGACTATAGAGGATCTCCCAAAGAGCAGCCAGTGGCACCTCCTTATCAGGGGGTCAGTGGTGTGTTAACGTGAGGAGGGCACCAGCCCTGGAGTTGAGAAGTAAAATCTTGGCTTCATCACTGATTCTGGTCTAATAAATGTTTTATTATTGTAAAATTAGTTATAACAGTTAAATAAGTTGTATTCATGGTACATTGTAAGTGTTCAGATGATGTTTCACTGAGCTCTTTAATGTTACAGACAGTTAGGAAGATTTGCACTGTACCCCAAAATCTCATATGTTGAAGACCTAGCCATCAGGCTCTAGCACTATTGTGAAATAATAGAAATAATAGAAAACACAAGGTAGGGCCTAGTGGAAGGAGAGTACATCATTAGGCTGTGGTGTCGAAGGGCTTGACTGTAGCATATATTCCAAGCAAATTCTAACTAAATGATAATAATATAGCTCTATTGATGTTAGACAAAATATACTTTAAAAAATGATCTGATTTCTACCTGAAGTGAATGAAGCAAGCAGTCACCCTGTCTTCTTACTAAAAAGCGCTGCAGAACATGACCAACATGTTTGCAAAAACGCTTGAGAGAGGAGCATCAGGAAGGAACACTGAAGCTGCTATAGCACTCAGTGTTTTCTTCCTGTGCCCCATGCCCTGGACTCAACTCAGTCGAAACCCAGAAGTGTATGATGTGTAGACAGAGCTGAGAGAACCCATACAGTTCTGGCCTGAGTTACTGGAGAAGAAACTTGTAATTCTCAGAATATGAGTCTCATCCTAGTTTCTTCGTGTCTTCTGCCTCTCCCTTCCCTCCTCCCTCCTGTCTTAGATCTCTATGCTTAGGCCAGTCCCAGCTAGGATGCCCTTTATAATTGTTATGCAGATCCTCAGGTTTCCTCCATCACACAAACTCCACAGTTCCTATGATACATCTTTGCATTTGCTGACTCTTTCCCTGTCATTTGCTATCAGCTTTTGCATAGCTAAGTGTGGTTGAATGGGAAGACTAGAACTCCAGCTTTCTAGCCAGAGAACCAGTACAGGGAGAAGCTGGAGATGTCAGCCTCATGGAGTGTTGTGATGGACTCTGAGGCTCACTTCAGGTGATGCCTGCTCTGACTGTTATTCTCATACTACAGACACCAAGAACTAAAATTACAATTGAGCACAGCCCAGGCATTAGCTGATTACCCAGGTGATAAACTTCATTGAAAGCATCAAAGAATATTGCAAATGCTTGAACTCTAAGCTGACACTAGAATGACAGTGCACAGAAGGCAGATGGAACCTTCCATTTTGTACCTGACCAGTTCAAACATTGAAGTGGGAAACGAGGAGGGGGGAGGGAAGAGAGAGAAGACGGAAGAGAAGGAGATAGCAGAAGAGAGGAGATCATTGTTATCTCCAGGACTTAAATAAGGACCAAAATGTTAATGATCAGAATATCCAGTACACAGTTCTTATTCAGCAGACAAAAATCCTGGAAAATCTTGAATCACTGGGGGGGAAAAAAAGCAGTAATGAAAGAAAAGGCATAAATGTTTGAATCATTTTTCAAAGGCCTTAAAGCAGTTACTCTAAAATATACATACATATATTATACGTGTATTCATATATAATGAACGTTCTTGAAAAAATACTATAATAGAAAAACCTCATCAAAGAAATAGAAGATACAAAGAAAAACAAAGTGGAATTTTTTTTAAAAGCAGAAAATACTGTTCTACAAATACTGAAGTTCAGGGGTAGGATGCAAAAGCTGATAGCAAATGACAGGGAAAGAGTCAGCAAATGCAAAGATGTATCATAGGAACTGTGGAGTTTGCGTGATGGAGGAAACCTGAGGATCTGCATAACAATTATAAAGGGCCTCCTAGTTATGTCTCTGGGATCTGAAAACTCAAATACCAAGAGTGTGCTCCGCCTCAAAATTATTTACTAATGTCTCAAGAGTTTCAAATTTGTTTAAAGTTGTAAACTCACAGACTCAAGAGGCTGAACCAACCCCAAATGGAAAAAAGCCATAAAACCCACGCCCATGTCACATTGCCAAACTACCCACAAAAAAAGCAAAGGGAAATTAAAAACAAACAAACAAACAAAAAAAGAAACAAGCAAAATCCTTGAATTGTCTACAGGGGAACACAGTACGGTTGACTGGAGATGTCTGCTTAGAAACCACAGAAGCTAAAAGGCAGACAAACACAGCTAAAGTGCTCACAGAGAGGAACCATCAACCTAGAATTCAGCATCCTCTGAAAGCCTCCATCATGAGTGGGCGTGAATAAATGTATTCAAAGATAAAGGGAAGCTAAGGCACTGAATAAAAATGTGTCTGCTAAGGGAAGTAGTTCAGAGAGAGGGAAAAGGTACCAAATGAAAACCCAGAACGGAATGAGCCCAGCAGAGATGGCAAATGTCTGGACAAGTGGAATATCTGCTTTAGCATTCTCAAAAATATGTTTGCAAATTGAAAGTAAAAATTATATTTTATAGTTTTCAGTGTATATGGATATAAAAAATAAGAGATTTATTTAGCATAAAAGAGGATGCCTGAGGGACCTTTAAAGCACTGGATTTTAGTAGACTGAAATGTTAAGACCATGTTCTGGTGAGTAATGTGGCTCACACTTACAATCCTCAAACTTGGAGGAGCA